CCAGTTCTGCCCTCCCCCCCTTCCCTACTATAGAAAGGATGTGGATGCATTGGAGAGGGTCCAGTGGAGGGTGACCAAAATGATTAGGGGGCTGAAGCGCATGATCTAGGAGGAGAGACTGAGGGATTTGGGTTTGTTTAGTCTGCAGAAGAGAAGAGTGAGGGGGGATTTGAGAGCAGCCTTCAACTTCCTGAGGTTCCAAAGAGGATGGAGAAAGACTGTTCACAGTGGTGACAGATGGCAGAACAAGGAGCAATGGTCTCAAGTTACAGTGGGAGAGGTCTAGGTTGGATATTAGGAAAAACTATTTCACTAGGAGGGTGGTGAAGCACTGGAATGGGTTGCCTAGGGAGGTGGTGGAATCTCCATCCCTAGAGGTTTTTAAGTCTCGGCTTGACAAAGCCCTGGCTGGGATGATTTAGTTGGGATGGTCCTGCTTTGGGCAGGGAGCTGGACTTGATGACCTTGTGAGGTCTCTTCCAGCTCTATGACTCTATGATTCTATGTCACATTTCTTTGTACAGTACATGTGAGAAGGAAGACAGCATGTACAGAATCTGAAGAGCTAGGATTTGGAAAGTCTGGAGTGAAGGGAGGGTTAATAGGTTAGAGGAAATGAGCATGTGAACCCAGGAATGACCAAGTTCTGATCCACTCTCCAAGTTTAGCAGCTGGAATGCTAGCTGCATAGTTCAGTGAAGATGTGGGATGGGGATAAGGAGCACAAACATGGGTTCTAGTTGACAAAATGTTCAAATAGCTTAAAACATTTTCCTACGGCTTCCCTACCTGGTGCCATTTGCAGATGAAACCCAGGATTCTTAAAACATTGGCCAAGCTGACCCCAGATGCAACGTTTCCATCTTCTGTTTGCAAAGTGCAAGTTTTGGTGGCAAAATTAACCCTCAAATAAACTCATTATTTGCACCCGGCATGGGGGGCGTAAAATCACTTTCATAGAAATTTCACTGGAAAAAAATTGTGCTTAGCACATGGAAAGGCAGATTTTTGCCCTAGAAGTAACTCTTTCATATTTGCATGAACTATTGATAGTTTTGCACTTACACTCGGTCAAAAATGGTTTTGGTTTTTGAAGAGTATTCAGTCTCTGAAACATCTTGCATATTATTTAATCTGTGCAAGATAGGCAAATGCCACCTGCCCCAGATTATAGGTGGAGAACCTGAAGCACAGGTAAGTTAAGTAACTTGCCTGATCTCACAGGAATACCTTGTGACAGCGCTTAATTTGGTCTTCCAGAGTCCCTGGCTTCTATTCCTCTTCATATTAGTCTGGCAAGTGGAACTGAGCCAGACACCATGACACAGGAGCACGACATATATCTTATCATAGCATCTGCCTGACCATAAAAGATATTGAAATATGAACTTTGATGTTATGAGAGTTCATGGGTAACTTTTGTTCCAAAGTTACAATCTTGATTAAGATTACTTTTTAACCCTCTGGCTGCCACTAAGTGACAGAAATTAAAGCTAGATCTGCCTGGATTTATTCTTAAATTGAGTGTAATGAACTGCTCACCAGATTTTGGTTTATTTTTCTAATAGCATCACCTACCCTAAAGTGGGAACTGCTTAAAATGAGCCATAGTGGGTCAGACCAATGGTCCATCTAGCCCTATAACCTTTCTGTCACAATGGCTAATGCCAGATGCTTTAGAGAGAATGAACAGACCAGAGCAATTTCCACTGATGGGTTGTTCACTCCCAGCTTCTGGTTTAGAGAATCCCAAAGCATGAGGTCGTGTCCCTGACCCTCTTGTCTAAGCTCCTGGTGGACCTATCCTCCATGGACCCCTTGCTTTTTGTTATGTGAAAAAGTAAATAGCACTGCCCAAGTCACTTTTTCAACACCATTCATGATTCTTTAGACCTCTCTCATATCATCCCTTAAATGTCTTGTGTCTAAGCAGAACAGTCCCAGTCTTTTTAATCTCTCCTCATATGGAAGTTGATCCTTACTTCTAATCATTTTTGTTGTCGTTCTGTGCACCTCTGCCAACTCTAATGTATTGGTTTTGAGATGAGATGACCGGAACTGTACACAGTATTCAAGGTGTGGATGTACCAGTCATAATATTATGACATTATTATTTTTTTTATTTATAATCTATCCCTTAATGGTTCCTAAATTTCTGTTAGCTTTGATGACAGCTGCTGCACTGTAACCAAGTGTTTTCAGAAAACTATCCCTTATGACGTTTTCGTTCAATGGGAACAGCTCATTTAGACCCCATCATTTTGTGTGAATAGTTGGGATTATTTTTTGAAAATGCATTACTTCACATCTATCAACATTAAATTCTGTCTTTTGTTGCTTGGTCATCCAATTTAGTGAGATGCCTTTGTAATTCTTTGCAATCGGTTTTTGGATTTAACTATCTGTAAATTTTGCCACATCACTATTCATCCCCTTTTTCAGATCATTTTATGAGTATTTTGAATGGCACAAGTTCTCAGTAAAGAACTTCAGGGGACCCTGTTATTACCTCTTTCCATTGTGAAAACTGACTATATATTCCTACCCTTTGTTTCATTTTTTAAAATAGTTGCTAATCCACGAGAGGACCTTCCATCTTATTCCATGACTTCTTATTTTGCTTTCTTATTTCTGAAAGTCCAAGTACACTGTATCTACTGAACCACCCTTGTCTATATGCTTGATGATTCCCTCAAATAATTCTAATAGACAGATTAGGAATAATTTCCTATTACAAATGCCTTTCTGACTGTTCCCCAACATATCATGTTCATCTATGTATCTGATCATTCTGTTCTTTATAATAGTTCAACCAATATCTCAGGAGATCTCAGGAGTACAGGATCTTTTGAAATGGGGCATTTCTGTCAAAAATGCCCCATCTAAACTGCCGGGTTTTTTCCTAAAAAGCCCCGTTTTGAAAAAAAAGCAGCGGCCGCTATTATGCAAATAAAGCACGGGAAATTCAAATCCTGGCTTCATTTGCAATATCGACATGCCTAATTTATATCCCTTTACCAAAAACGGGATGTAGTCTTGAAGTAGCCATAGTTTTATTTAATTCTTTTTTATTTGCAGTATATATTTAGTTTGAGCCTCTTTTAAGGTATTGTCTTTCCCTTTTTTTGGGGACAGTGATGCTCAAGAAGTATTTGTTTATGGTGTTTAGAAATGTTCTCTCTGCTTCCCTTCCTTAGGTCATATATACCCCTTCAATAAGAGAATAATTGAAATTTGCCTTTATTATTGCATTTTCTGTCTTTGTTCCCTTCCTAATTTTCCTGAGCACTTTACAATCACCATGCTAGGCAGGTGGTCTGCATATATTCCTACTTCTATATTTACTGTTCCCATACTGAAATTTCTATCCATAGAGATTCAGTGGTATAGTATGATTTATTTAAATTTTTACTTATACTTTCCTAAACATATAGTGCCACTCCCTACCAGCATGACCTACTCTGTCATTCCTATCTATATTGCACCCTGGTAGTGCCATGTCCCATTGATGATCCTCATTCCGCCAAGTTTCTAGCATTTGTATATAAGCACTTGGACATTTTGTCTATGTTCAGTTGCTTGCCTTCATCTATAATATTTAAATGGGACTCTTAGGCCTTGTTTATACTTACATGGAGATCAGTGCTTCAGTGACTTCAAGGGTTTGATTTAGTAAGTCATGTAAGAACCCACTAAATCGAATGCTGATGGTGCCTCCATCAACCCTTGTACTTCACATAATGAGGACTAAGGGAAGTCGATCACAAGTCTCATTGGCTGCAGATCTCTATTCCCGGCCAATGGGCACGGCCAGGGCCGGCCCACAACATTTTAACACCTGAGGCAGGGAGCTCAAATGACATCCCAATGCCCCCTCGCTTGGGCCAAAACTTTGAAAGGTCTCAATTCTGCTTTCTTCCTGTTCTACTCCTCTCATGGTACTGCTCTGCTACCTACATATGCACCAGCAGCAGACACAATTTTCTACACTCTGGGTTCTAGTGGCGTCCCCCCACATTCTGGCACCTGAGGCGGCTGCCTCAGTTCGCCTCATGGTAGGGCCACCCTGGGCACGGCAAGACGGAGTGTGGACCAGGACACCGCTTCCCACCACTCCCATTGGCTGGGAACAGTAATCTGCAGCCAATGAGAGCTGCAATCATGGAGGTCTGTGGAGGTACAGGTAAACTAAGTGTTTCACAGCCAGCTAACAGCTTGCCCTTAACACACTGTGACCATCGTTTGAAAACCCCTGCTCTAGACCACCCATCCCTCCTCAAAATAGGAACATTTTGGCAATGCTTTATAAAAGGGTATATTATTATTCATATTTCTATAGTAGCTAGAAGCCTCAGTCATAGATTAGGACCCCGTTATTCTCAGCACTGTAGTGCTATAATTGTTCTAACCTCAGTTCAGGACCAGGTCAAAACCTGATGCGGTCGCCCAAATCTGGTTCTGTGTAGCTGAGCTGTGACCTAGTGAGAGAAGCCAGGTTCACAAACAGAAGGGATTTTTCTTTAATTTTCTTTTCTCTTATGTGTCTTTGTGCCTGCCCCATATGTAGGAGACTGTTGTTGAAAGGAGGGCATCTTAGGGACTTTTTAAAATGCTTCCTGAAGTGTACATAGCTTTCTAACTGGAAGGAGATGTCATTCTGGACTGTGTACTACACCTTTACATATAGAGTAGACGCCAATGTTCCCTGTAAGCTGTGTGCTTGGGTGACCACTCAGGAGACATCCAAATGCCACCCAAATGATTAGCAGAGCACCCACAGCTAGATTTTTGCCTCATAAAAATTAATTCCACACATGGATGGAGAAAAATCTGCACATGGATGGAAAAGATTAAAGGGAACTTTGGCAGACTACTTAGCTTCCTGAAGGCCACAGTTATGAGGGAGCTTTCATCAGCTTCCCTCATTCCTTGCAGTACACTCCCTACTCAAGGCACTTATGCGAAGCTTATTCAGCACTAACATCTTCAGGTCCTCTTACCATGTTGTTCCAGAGACCCACGCCCAAGGCAGAGTTCTCTTCTTCCATGATTTCCTCTGGTGTATTTGGTATGGAATTGCCATCCACCTGCCTGCCCTGGAAGATAAAATATTTGAGAATGTGAGATGGTGGTACAGTGCTATCTCATTTATGCATAAGGTGACAACAAATGCTTGAAGGAAAACATGACATTCATCACGGGAAAGACCCATTTATAAAACAATCTAAGTAAACAGGCTCAAGAAACTGACTTCCACTGCAGCCTCTGAGCACAGACCAAAGAGGACACTGCTTTGAGAAGTGACTAGTTTACTTGGTACTGAAAGAGGGCTCTGAAAGGTCAATACACTCTATGAGGGAGCAGGAAGACCAGAGTAACAGCAAAGCAGTAGTGCTAGCGTGAGTCACCTGTGTGGGCTGAGGAAGAATACGACAAAAGGATTAACAGAGCCTGGTTAGGAATAAAGAGCTAGTTCTCAAGCTGATGTTTAAGGGTATTTTAAAGCACTGGACTAAAGAACTTGATCATGACCCTTTGACACACAAATTTTTTTCAAGTAAAAGCCACAGCATTGGGAAGATTGTAATAGCTCATGCATAACATCCTGTGCATCACCACCCTGTAAAGGTCTAAGCAGTTCTGCTGTATAGCAAAGCAAATGAAGAAACCAAGTGCAATAGAATCTTACATTTAAAAACAGATAATAGCTGAAAATGTTTAAAATCATGTGTGTCAAAATGCTGAAAATGACTAAAGATTTAAAAACTAGACTGCAAAAACCTACAATGACGGGGATTCAGTCTCCCTGTTACCAACCTTTCTGTGATACTGTTCTAGCTGCTGCAACGGAATCCATCTTCAGTGAACCTTCAGGGATTCTATCAACAAGTGATCACTAGATGGTCATCTGATGCAGTCAGATGATATCAGGGATTTAAATCCCCCCAAGAGTGAACACAAGGTTGTAAAAGTAGAGACCTTTTCCACCTTCTAGATGAAACCAGGCAATAGCAACTGAGAAAATTTCTAGACTGAATTTCATGCATTGTGTGGTCAAAAACCTGGCAAATTATTAAGAGATTGAATGGAGATTCAAGTCTGGGCAAAAGAGCAGGGGGCAGGCGGCCAGGGAGTTGGGTGTGACAGGGCTGGGAGGCAGAGAAAGGGGTGGGAGTTGGGGGATTGGGTCCAATAGGTCTGGGAGGCAGAGCAGGGGAGAATGGGGGATTAAAGCCAATGGGGCTAGGAGGCAGTTCACAGGGCTTGGAGCTGGAGGATTGGAGCTGACAGGGCTGGGAGGAGGAGTAGGGAGGCTGGGGGATTGGGGATGATGAGACTGGAAGGTGAAGCTGCTTCAGTTTCTGATCACTGGACCCAGGACTGCAGCCTCCCAAAAGTTTGGTGCAGAACAAAGCTCATAGCTGTTCCCAAGCTAGGCCCAAAGAGCTACTGCTCAGTGTTTCTGCTGAGTGATACCTACAAAGTGATGGAGAGACTAATTCTGATGTAGATTAATGAAAGGTCATCTATCCCTAGCTGCCTTGCATTCAGGCTGGGTTCTGGAAGGGAGGATGCACTCAGTTTCAGGTTCTTTGCTTCAAGACATGAAATGCGCATTTGAGTCAGGAAAGGACATTGGCGGAGGCCATATTGATCTGAAAGCAGCTAGGACACTCTGTGGCAAATCCACCCGCTTGCCAAGCTGGTCAACACAATTCCTTGAAGGCCTCTGCTCTGGTTCATCCAAAAAATCAGTAGCAACTAAAGATTCAACCTGCAACTCAGGTGGAAAAAATAGTCTCCCCAAGCATCTTACAATGATCTTCCATGGGTATCAGTTTTGGCTCCCCTTTTGTTCAATATACAGACCTCCTGATACACAAGTAGAGAAGAGCATGTATGCTGGTGATAGCTGTATTGCCAACATTGGATACAATTTGCACAGAACTGCGGGGAATCTGCACCAAGATACAGATACTTCATCCATTTTCTTCCAAAAATCTCAGTGAAACCGAGACTGTGGCAATTACTTTCCATCTCAACAATTGTCTTGCCAATCAACTCATCTCCTTCAGTGTCTAAGGACAGCCGCAGCCATTTCAATCAGTGGTCACATACTTGGGAGTAAAACTCACTGGTGGCCTGATATACACACCTCACCTGGAATGCCAGAATATGAAAATCTCTTCCTACACCTTCTTCATACAGAAACTATTGAGGAACATCTTGGAGAGCAGATCCTTCAGTCCTTTGTACATCTGTATTAGCCCTGCTGTTTATTCCAGCTGAATACTGCTCTCTTGCTTGGGGGTGCAGCAGTTTGGCCACTCATATTATTAGTGGCTGCTTGAACTGTACACCAGCCCTCAGTCTGTATGTGCTAGTGCACTGTTGTGAATATTGGGGTTGCAAAGCAAACATGCATTGTGAACTCAAATGTAAAAAGTATTTGGAAGTTCATCAGAAGTTACAACAGCTGTGAAAAATAGGTCAAGCTGTTTACGACACTGAATGTTGTTAACAAGAGCAAGAGAACCAGTCAGAGAAGCTGGATTAGTCTAAACCCAAAAGCCCACATTGATATAATCCCAGGACTTCTGAAATCATGCTTGGTAAAAAATGAAGCTGTGGAATCAGAATTTAATAAATCAAAATTGATGCAAAAGATTTTAGGCCTAATTAGTGGACAAAATAATAATGAGAGGATGAACTATGCCACCTACGTTTCCCTTTTTTGTGTTTCTTAAAAGAGTCTTAGAAAGAAACAGTATCAGTGGAATTCAGTCTCCATCTCCTCTCCTGTCAAATCTTGCTTTCCAGCTCATCCTGGATACATCTAGACTGCAAAGCTATTTTGGGACAGCAGAGGTATCCCAAAATAGCTATTCCTCATCCTTTGAACCTGCCTGTTATTTCAAAATAGATTTAGAAATAACGGGCTCACTATTCCAACGTTCCTGTAACCCTTGTTCCACGAGGGTTAAAGGATGTTTCAGAATAACGATTTATTTTGAAATTTGGCCCTGTGTAGACAGCACCAAATTTTGAAACAAGCTATTTCAAAATTATATTGAAATAAAATATACAATTTGCATAGCTCAAATTGTATCTCTTATTTTGACCTTCGGGTGCAGTGTAGATGCATACCCCTCTGACCTGCCAACACTGCAACTCATTTTGACTCATATAAAAGACTTTCTTCCTGAGGGGAAAGCCAGCTGGGCTACCTCTTGTTTAAGAAACTTTGTTTTCACCTGTGAGTGCTAAATGCCATCCATTATCATTATATGCAGTCCTCATCTCAGCTGGAGGGGTACCTAATTTCCAGCACCCTGAAGGCATGTATGATCCTGTACTACATTCCTTCCATTGGTGGGTTATTTTCTGCCCTATTATTTCTTTCTTTCTATCTTTCTTCATTATCTTGGCTTTTCATTGCATCCTGAAGTCAAATCATATAACATCCATCTAAGCCTGCCTTGTCTAAGGAGAAAGGATCCAACCAAATGATGTCCCTGACCAAAGTGTAACTAACCAAGGTACAAGCAGAAGATATTGTTGTTGCCTTGCCAGCCAAAGCATTCACTCATAACTAGCCAGTGGGTAAGGTTCCAAAAACCAAAAACCCAACAGCAGCCACGAGTAACCCATCTTTTCTATTCCGTCTGTTCGTTACAAATCAGATGAGTGAATGCCTTTCGCATTCAGGACTGAAACTAAAATTAACTTTCTCCTTTTCGTTAAAGAAAGGTTGCTTTGAGCATAAGACATTCTTGATCGTTTTACTCCAAAAAGGAGAAAGCTTTTGAGATGGTCTGACTAAGCTGCTTTGCATAAGCACACTACCACCGTTCCATTGAAAATGCCAGTTCCTCGTTATAAATGCCAGTTTTAATTTCTTATTCTTTCTTGTGTTTAATCAATAAACTTTCAACCTGAATGGATGATTTTGGGTGTTTGCCAAGTAACTGAGTAAAACCAAAGTTCTGTTTCAAAACAACTGGGAACCTATCAGTGCTTAAAGTTGACAGTGAGAGAGGCTGAACACACCTTTAACTCTTTGAGCCTTTGAGATCAATATCCATACAACAACAGTTAGCTTTCCCAGACTTTTGGCAAGATGCCATGACTGTTAAGTCCTCTTCTACATTATGCCGTAAATCGATGCTGCAGAAATCAATCCACTGGTCATTGATTTATCATGTCTGCTGTAGACGTGATACACTGATCTCCGAGAGTACTCCCATCAATGCTGGAACTCCACCAAGATGAGAAGAGTAGCTGGAGTCAATGGGAGAACAGTCCCCACCAACCAATGTGCAAGACTTCAGATATGCTACGTGACTGAATTAGATCATTGGTGCAGCTAAGTATAGACAAGACCTAATTGTGCCAGGAGAGCTGTGACAAATTAAACTGACCTATTACATTTGCTACTGATGCCCCATTTTCAGACAGGAAACAATGTCAGTGCCAACTCAAAACATCTGCACAAATCCAGGGGAGAAATCCCACCCCTGCAAACTGGCTGGTCTCCTGAGCTCCCTTTGCTACAGCAGCTCACATATTCTTGGACAAAAAAGTATTGCTAGCCCACTACCCTACATGGATGGTCAGCCCCTCTAGAGAGCTGAAAACTGCCATACAAAGTCAAAGTATTGATGGAATACTAGTTTAACCCACTAAGTAAATTCAAGAGTCCACCACTGAACCTGTCTCTTTGTTTACTTGATTGTAGATCTTGGATCAGGCTTACCAAGTTACTCTCTGGCTCCTACTGAGTTACCACAGATATGCACTGGCTTGGCCTGGTTTCCTCCCTACTCTGTGACCGTGGAGCAGTAATGCAGACAATAACTCATGGTGGGCAAGTGTCCTATGGGACATTTGGAGGGTGGTTTATCACTTCTGAAAATCAGGCCTCTTGGGGAATTTTGTGATCACTTCCCCCGTTTTACACAAGTGACTTAGGAAAAGTCTAGTTGAATATTCCCATTCTTACCAAAGGTGACCCAGAGAGGAGGGAATGGTTGATATTCACTCACCGTTCTATGAGGCAGACTTATTTCTTGGAAGAAAGGCTGCAGAACAATGGTGAAGTCATCTCTCCACTCATACCGCCCAGATTTCAGCAGTTTTTTCAAGTCATTCTAAATGATAGATAACAACCATTTAACAGGATCAGCACTAACATGTGTCTGGAGAGACCCACAGTACAATTTATCAGTGGCTTAAATATATTTAAGGTCTTCTCCATCCCTAATATACCAAAATAATCAAATTATATAGCCAAAGACAAAAGTAGTAATTTAATTAAAGCATCTTATGCAACAATTAGAAATCTGCCCATGAGCTCTGAGAGAATTGTATTGGATTAATGACATTTTCTCAGAAAGAGTAGCAACTAAGCAAAGTAATCAGATCTCATGCTTAGGATATAAACTGGTGCCCTGCAGGTTGTGGAAGGAAACAGAGGGATAGGAGAGCAGCACATTAGGCCACTTGTATTATATTTCTAGCTTCCTCTAAATCATCTGACGTTTGTGAGTCTCAGAGATAAAATCCTGGACTAGAAGGGCCAGTGATCTAATTAGTTATGGCAAATCCTATGTGACTATGCCCTATAAAATCATTAGCATCTATAAGAGGTGCTGAGATTGCTTAATTATACTAATATTATATTACTCTCCAATGCTACTGATGCTGGAATAGATGTCAGCAGAGCTATGATTATGAGGTAATTAGTATTAGACAGATAACCCCTCATCTCCCTAAACTTGCACATGAGTATACCTTCATCACTCTAGACCCAAAGGACAAGAACTGTGGAGAAAGCAATACCTGATAGGACCACCTCAGTATGACATCATCAAGTTTGGAATCTTCATCAGCACAGTTACATGGCATCCTGGATACATTATTACAGAGTGAAAAAACAAAACCCAGTACTTTCAGATTACATTCAGGTAACAATTTGTGCTTGATTAGGTGGCGGCTGGAACTCTAATAAACCATTGACAGTCATGTGCCACAACACGTTTGAAGGACCAGTAGGCAGCAGGGCAGAAGGCTGCATGTTGACAAAGACCAGAAACAATGCCTTGCTCTTCCACTTTGATCACAGAATTGTCTTGGTCTCCATGTCCAATGTTTTGGACAGTTTGTTGGCCTCTGAACCTATTCAGCTGACAATTACACAAGGTTTGGTTTAGTTCAGGGTCTGTCAGATGGGCATCACTCTCATACTTGAGTTAACAATTGCAGATAACTTAGCATTAGCTTTCAATCACTTCCATTTCCAGTCTCATCAGAAAATTGACCTCTCTTGCAATACTTTGCATAGGGGCTGTTGCTGTAATATTGTGGCAGCAGACCACAAGCTATAGGCTTGAATAAAAGCCTCAAAAGCTGCAAAAGTTAGCATGTGCTATGGAGTGGCCAAGAGTAGAGGGGTAGACCCTGGCATACTGGCCAAATTCAAATGCTGGTCATTAGATTTTGCCTTCTTAGTCTCCCCTTGCAACTTTTATTAGAGAAAGGATCTTTCTCTTCTTGACCTAAATAGCTTTGCTCTTGGCCTAAACTTCAATGTAGCATTGCTAAGCTGTTATGTAACTGCCAGTGCTCCTTTGGCACGGAGCATTTCGCTGATGGGTGGAATGTCTCCTATGCATGTTTGTGATATGCATTAAGATGGCTACAGAAATAGTTATGGCTGTTTATAAAAAAACTTAATCCAAAGACTCCTTTTTTAAAATAGCATCTTAGATTCTTGTAGAGATTTATGATTTCTGGAATCTAGCATTTATTTGCCATTAATGAAAAATTTTGCTGGATTTCATTCTGTTAAGAATTAAAAACATCTGAAAAAATGAAAACACACTGCTTACAAGGCCCTAGTACATACAGTCAACATGTAGCCATTCTTGCCATGTCTCCTGGGAGGATGGGGGAGAGGAATATAGTACACATTCAGGAACGCTAATGGGAGATCACGGTCCTTACATAGTTAAAGAACAGCTCTTTACCTGATTTTATTCTGATTACTGCTTGAAAGAGAGAAGAATCTGAGCTCAGTGGAATCCACCAGGTTTACAAAGGCTTTAGGGACCTACAGTGACAAAGATAAAAAATAAAGTCACAGTATTTGCCATTACAGCTTGTATTCAGTTTTTAAATAGTCCTGTACTGTCTCATTGCCTGTGAAGATTTCTACTTATCCACATAAATTGTACAGCTTCCACCAAACCATGTCATCAACATGTGTCACCCTTGACCAGAAAGGAACCTCTCTAAGAATTGGTGATCTCAAATCATGGCTGATTCCGTCCTTTGCTCTCCTCCTGTGATTGCCAGCCAGGGTAATGTTAGTTTGTGAAGACTTTTTGCAATATGAATTCCTTAACTGCAGCCAATCAAACTCATTTTACATATATCACTGACATTATGCTAGCTGTCATTTATATCCTGCTACTAAACAGGTGACCTACCATTTATATGACAAAGTAAGGAAGACCTAGAGGTGTAATGTTCGGTATTACATTGGAGTACTAATCTCTCATATCTCCTCTCTCCCAAATCAAGATGCTACTACCTTTATGTGCATAAAGATGCCACATTTCTAGGTGTGTGAGTGACATGAATCGAAACATAAGAAGGAAAGGAGAGAGATTCTGATAAGAATGAGCCAATGGGACTTAGGTGAAACTCTCTGAAGCTAGTAATAGCTGAGCTTTGGAGTGAGATTTGAGTAAAAAATTATTAAAGGCTTCAGGGTTTGGCCCAATGCATTCAAACTGCAATAGTTTTTGCACATGTATTAGACCTAAGAGGAAAACCAAAATTCTTGATGGGTACCATACAAATATCTTAGCTAGGATTAACAGTAAACACAGAAGGGTTCTATTTTACCATTGATATGTACTCACAAGTGGTAGTTGCATTAATAAAGGAGTAAGGTCTGGGTGCAGCATATTTCCATTGAAATAACTGTTTTCCTGGAGCATAGATCAGCCAAGCAGGGAATGACTTGTATTGAGGTTTTAAGATTAAAAATGGAAAGGGGAAAAAAATCAGCAGAATTTTTTTTAAATGGTTGCTGCCCAACTTTCATCTGCATAGGTCATTGCTAGACAATTAACATCTCATGTGTTAGCTAGTCTGATTGTTCGACTAGCCCCCAAGAACCCTGTATCATACAGCAGTGAATAAACATGGGAAATTTTCATATATTGCCTGGCTCAACAAGAGTGAAATTTACTCCTGTGCAGAGGGGTAAATGCACCACTTAACATGTCAAAACAGGGCCTTAGCTGGAAACCCAGAAATTTAGATGTTACTTGGTATATATCAAGAGTACTTAGAATCCACTCTGTTAGTGTCATTTAGCATGGACATTCTAATTGACAATTTTTCCCCATTTTTTTAACTTCACTTTCCCTCCCCATCCTCTCTCTTTCTCAGCTATTTATTTTGCACCTGGACCCATTAACTCCGGTCATCTGAAGAAGTGGGTCGTGCCCACAAAAGCTTATGATACCATCTACATTTTTTGTTAGTCTCTAAAAGGTGCTGTAGGACTATTTGATTTTTTTTAAGTTTTTTTCATTTACAGACTACACATGGTTACCTCTCTGAAACTTTTAAACATTTTAAATGTCTTTTCATCTATATAGCAAATGAAATATTTGCTGACAATAGGAGGGATTTGCAAAAGTGACTGAATTAGAAGCACAAATTAGGGATGTTAAATATCGATTAATTGAATAGTCAAGTAACCTCATGAATTCTTATTGGTTAGTCAACAATTCTATAATCCCTGGAGATGGGGCCAGCAGCAGCATGGGGTGCCAAGTAGGAGCTAGTCCACAAGAGAAACCAGTTTAAAAAACTACTCCTCTTGCAGACCAGCTGCTTGTTGCCCTGTGCTGCTGCCTCTGCTAGAGAGGCAGCAGTGCGGGGCAGCAACAGCCCCTGTCTGCAGGAGTGCGGGGTCTGAGCTCCCAGACCTGGTGCAAACTGGAACTGAGCTGGGCTTCCTACCCCCCTCAGCTCCTAATACACTTTAAATGCAAAGTCACAGTGGGGGTAGGTCCTGCACCCAGTGTGAGCCAGAACTGAGCCGGGCTGTTAGCTAGCCTGCTAAAAAATGTACTGGTTGGGGGAGGGGGAGGGAAATGCATGTAGTCTATAGCATTAACCTATAAGCTTTTGCTTATCAGCTAATTGGTTAGTTGACTGCACTATTACATCCCTAGCACAAATCCCATTCAATTCAATAAGACTTGTGCTCTTTAATGATGTAGGCACTTTTGAAAATCCAACCCCATAGCTTTGCAGCTGTACGTGTAGCTCTGTAAAGGAATGTGTGGTAATCTCACAACTGAGTTAGGTACAGTAAGTGGCTTATTTTACCTCTTGATATAAAAAGTCCAAGACTCTCTTAAGTCTTTCCATGCTGTCCAGGAAGCGGTGTTCCTGCAAGGAGAGTAACAGTTTAGAATACAGGCATGGAAATATGCATGTATGCATGGCACAGAGCTGGAAAAGACAATTTAAACAAGTGTTTTGCAGAAATGATGAGCTCCATACATTTAGCTAATGTACCAGAGAGGCTACTGGTTGCACGAGGAATGAGGGATTGGTTGGAAAAGGCGTTCCTTGTCAACAGATCCCCATCTAGACTGCTGCTTTTTGCCTATAAAGTGCCACGTCAGCAAAAAGCGGCGGCCATGTCTATTCAAATGAAACGCAAGATATTTCAATCCCCACTTCATTTGCAATAGTGATGTGCCTAATCTACATCCCTCTGTCAGCAGAGGGGTGTAATTTAGACACACCCTTAGATACCCCATCCAATTCACACTGTGCTATCTCTGGCAAAAACACTTCTGTGACTTTCCTTGGCATGTGTTTCATTGAATCTAATTGACCTCGCGGTTTAATTTCCCCTTTTCTGTCACTCCTATTTTGTCCTCTTAACCCACTTCAATGATTCCTCATTCCCTTTTGTGTTACTGCCTCTCAAGAATTTATAGAGTTATCTCCACTCCAGTCCTTGAACAGAGCAAATTTCAGAGGGTCCATGGGGAGAGAAAATGGAACAGGCTTTGCCATTGCATGGATTTAATTAAAAAATAGGCCTTTTTATGCAACCTGATGCACACCAAAGGCACAAAGGGTATGTCTACACTTCAGGACAAAATCAAATTAAGATAGGCAACTTCAGCTATGTTAATTGCGTAACTGAAGTCAAAGTAGCTTAACTCGGCTTTTGGCGCTGGCTACACTGCAGGGAGTCGAAGGAAGAACACTCTTCCTATGACTTACCTTATTCCTCATGAAATTAGGGTTACACCCAAGTGCCCCTCTCATTTCTAATTACTTGTCTTAACTCATCTGCTAATTCGAACCCTGGAAGATCAACAGCAATCTTCCTCTGCAGTGTATATGTACCCATAGAAACAGCATTTTCAAAAGATCTTCATGAGCCAGTAAGGAGACAAATGACTCGGGTAGCAGGACAACATGCCACTCACTCGTCCCTCCAGTTTGAATTTTCCCCCCTTTCAGCTGAATTTGTTGGGCAAGTGGGAAGGTGCTTAGTGGTGAGTGAAAAACATAAATGCTCAACTGTAAAACTGCAGTGGGCAGAGTGCCTCAAAGTGGTAAAATTGCTCAGTGGAATGATGATCTAGCCAGTGTTAGCAGTGAATTCTCACTTAATGTGCTAAAGGAGCTTAGATACTTCAGACATGATGGTGGCAACAGAGCCCACTGAACACAGAGACATCAAAAAGAGAAGCAAGAAGGTAATATGATGTAGCTCTGATGAAAAATGCGGGGCAAAACAAATATTACACATATAGGGTACATCTACACAGCAACATTATTTCGAAATAACTTAGTCCGTGTCTAGACAGCAGGTAGTTATTTCAAAATAATGTCAAAATACTGTCAAGCTAGAGACTTTTTACTCCAACTCCTGTAACCCTCATTGTATGAGGAGTAAGGGAAGTCGGAAGAAGCATGCTCTATTTTGAAATAAGTGCTGTGCGGATGCTCCCAATTTCAAAATAAGCTATTTTGAAATAAGCTACACAATAGACATAGCTTATTTTGAGTTAAGCCTTGCTGTGTAGATGCACCCTTAGAGAGCCTTTTTGTGTGCTAGGTGTTGACTGCTTTTTTGTTTGTTTTCTGTTGTCCACCTGAAACCAAATTTTAACCCTTATCCCACAGGGCCAACAGGGCTATCTATCCAGGTGGTTAGCCTGTGCCACGACTTATGCACAAAGTTCACATGGTTATTTTTAGCATGCTAGCTCAAGCAGAGCTAGTGCAATTCTGTCTACCTGGGCGGGAGACCCACTCCCAGAAGCATTGCAGATATCCCCTAAGTCACACAAGACATCTCATTTGATTTCGCTTTCACATCGGAATGTGACCTGGGACGCTGGCTGCTCAAAGCAAACAATTGGCTATGCAATCGCTGTACCATCCCATTTAGGGCTGCAATTTTGCCAGCTCTCACAGCCTAGCTTGAGTTGGACAAGATGGGAGATCCCTAAGGAAAAGAGCAGTGCTCTAGGAAATGCTGTTGGAGATTTAGCGAGTAGCATTTTTCCTACAGTGAGTACTAGGTTCAGGTGGATAAGAAATTCATAATGAATGACTCAATTAATTTATGCCTCTTCTGCTCACAGGATGTATTTGGTACTTATATAGTTCCTACCGCTGTCGGATCTGTTCAAAGAGATCACTCTCTTTTCATTCGCTATTTGAAATGATTCACTAAGTAATGTCTGCAGGTAAGTTTTGCTCTGTACCTGGTATTATATTCCTAATTCAAGTTGTTTTGAGTCTTATGGCATGTTTGTTTCCTGACTCGTGGAGTAACTGAGATTCAGATGCCAGGTCTAGTATTCCTTATTCATTCTGCAGGTCCTGAGCTTTGAATTCAGTGCATATAATAATCCCAAAGTACCATAATCAGAACTGGGATTCCCTGCTCAGACTTAGATCATACTCTGGGCAGCTTACCTGGTGAAAGGAGACACAGGAGGAACACAAGTTTTCAGCACTAAAGAAAACTGTGATTAGCTTCCAGTCATTTTGGAAATCTAGCATCTGAAAGGAAAGAGCACAAGAGAAAGCAGTTGGTGCATTGTCTACCAATGCCCGGGGGAGAAGACAAGAGTCCTACACATGACTTGCATTCCACACCTGCCGACCCTTGGCCTTCTTTCCTTCACGATTAGGTGAAGCCTCTATTAGAAACCTGAAACCACCAGAATTGGTTGAGTTCAAGTCAGCTGAATGCTTGTTAGTGACATAGATGCCATGAGAACACGGTGTATGGAGCTTAGCAACCACCTTGTGCTGCACAAGACACACCCAAGAGCAGCTGACCAGCAGATTCAAATTCACCAAATTTTATGTTGAATCTAACTCCACACAACTGTGGGTCACCCTCCCAAAACACCAAGGATCATGTAATGCCAGGGGATCCCAGCACTGAAAATAGCGAGTAAGCAACAGAGTCAGTTGTACAATCACATTTGCCAGTTTGGCCTTTTACTAAGTCACAGGTCTCCAACTGTTTAGATGCAAACAATGGGGTGGGATACAAGGAAATCAGTGCACAAAGCTTTAGGATAGTATTTCCTGAGCACTCAGCATTGGCCTAACTCTGCACTCATTGAAGTCAACCACTGATGCTACTGAAAGCGACTCAGAGGGAGTATCACGGGGCCTTTGTGAAAATTCTTCCCTACAGGGCTAAGAGAAAATGGGAGAGACATGCTGAGTTCTATTCTATGTCAGCAGGATTCCTAAGAAGGCCATGCACCATCACAGGGATCTAACATCTTTGATCAGCAGGAGGTAAACCAAGATTCACATTAACCAACTATTTTGACCCTGATGACAAAGAGGAAGAAACCTCTTCAGAACCAAACAGGATGTACTTTGGGAGGGCAAGTCTAATTCTGTCTTTCATAGAAAAACTGGAGTTCATTAACTGCTGTTGTTTTTAAAAGCAGCATTTTCCATGTCTAACAGACCCTTTGTTTCGTGTTCAGTAGAACTGGTCAAAAATATCTTGAGCTTCAAAATGTTCAAAATTTCCGTCAACTTTTTGAAGTTCAAAATGTTTTTACATTTGACTTATTTTTCTTGCTTCTTTCTTCCTCCTCTCCCCCTCTCTCCCTCCCCCCAGCTCTGGGGTTCATGGTCAGGCTCTTTGAAGTGCTGAGTGTTTTAAATATACCTGATTCTCTTTCATGAATTTCACCACTTCTTTAGCTTGATCCAGTGTGCTTCTGCTGCATAAAAGGAAAGCAGAAATAGTCAAATCATTTTAAAAGAATGCGTTGACTGGTTTAATCATTGAAATGAGCAGCATGGCACTTAAGCAAAAATATGAAGACACAGTCAGGTTGCTAGACAACTGTTTACTCCCATTCAAGACCACACACTTGTTTTGCTGATGCAAAAAGGGAGGAGGTTTGATCTTAAGTCAAAAAGTCTGGTTCTTGGTGTATTAAATGGGCCACAGAGTCATTTGTCACTTTTGTTCCTGGTAGGAGAAAGTTGAGTCAGATTGACAGGGTCTGATGTTAGGGAAACCTGTCCTGCCCTTTCCCATACTGGGCATATTCTGATTATAGCTAATGGATTTCAGTCCCATAGGACCTTCAGCCCTGTATCTTTCACCAACGCTACATTCATTTTTCAGCTAAAGAAAGCACTTACATAGCTTTGGATCCTGATGCTGCTCTGTTCGTTTTGAGAAGAAGTGGCTGGTGTAGGACAGAGGGGTTAAACCTGCTAACAAGAGCTGAACAACACACACAGAATCAGAACATGTCTGGATATGGGGAACTACCGATTTGCCACTTCACCCTGAACGGGATCAAATTGGCCACAAACTGCTCCTACATCAGGGACCCCCCAATCTTACCAGCGATGTCGTTCCTCAGTGTTTTGCGTTTTGAAACAATGGCATGAAGCTGAAATTCTTTGTTCTCACCCTGGTGCTGCCTATCGGGTGGAAAGTCAGAGACACCTGTAGGGGCATGTCTCCCATTTTTAGCAACAGGAGCTTGATTTAGGCAGCCAAGGGGCATTTCTTGAAGTAGAGTATATTTAGTGGGTACATACACAGTCAACTTCCCCCAGCACTGGAAGGGATTTCAAAGATGAAAAAGAGCCCATTTGCAGGCATGGAAAATGAAGGAGACATTAGTATGCTAGGGTGAAGATTTTGGGGAGATGGAAAATGTACCCTCCCCAATCCCAATGTGGCTGTGATCCTCCCTGCACCTGACAGCTACAACACTCTCCAGAGCAAGCCAGTGCTATTCAAAATATATTCTGTGGGATCCCCTCGGGGATGTGTGTTCTGCCTCCAGAGTTACCTTCATTTATATCACTCTGGCACCCCACGTGTGGCTGCACTACGCACTGATGCGGCACCATCTCTAAAGGGCCCCACAGAACTGTAGGACCAACCACCCTTTTAATACCTGGCAATGGATTTGCTTAGAGTTCAGTGTTGAGAACATCACCGCAAGACAAACCTGCTAGTGTTTCCATGCTCGCCTGAACAAGGGTCCTTTCTGAGCTATAAATAGAAGAAAAATTTGCATTGCTTTTTGTCACATTTCATACCTTACAGCACAGTAGTGGTTTCTCCTGAAGGTACAAATAGTTCTGTGGTTCTTCTAACAGCTGATGAAATCCCTAAAGCCCTTTCTTTCTCAAAGTGGGGTCTGTTGCCCCTACTTTCCCTGGATTTTAGTAATGCCACCTGCTGTTGCTCAGCCAAAACAAAACACTGATTTCAGGGCTTACCATAAAGGTAAAGGAAGTAGCAACTGTCTACTTTTCCCCAAATGTATTTGTTTTAATTTATTCCCATTTCACCTAATCCCCTCTGTTAAACATTTCTATACATAATGTGCATGCAAGTATAGGGATGTAAGCGACTAGTCGATTATCCAATAAGCATAAGCTTATTGGATAGTTGAATAGTCTCTAGTCTAGGCAGCAAGGGTGGGGGGAGGAGTCGATGCTGGGGGAAGCCGGCTTAAAACCTGGCTCCCCCCAGCACCATTTATGCAGTGGGCAGGGGAGGTAGAGGGGTAGTGGGGATCAGGCACGAGCTGGGAATCAGCTGTCTTGGCTCGCACTGGGTCCCCCACGCTGTGCTTCAGCCTTTTTAATGTATTAAGAGCCTACCACCTCTTAATACATTTAAAAGACAGAGCTGCAGTGGGATTAGCTCCTGGGGCCGGGACCTAACCCCACTGTGGCTCCCCTGCTTATCAACTAATTGACCAGTAGATGAAAATTCCATTAACTAGTCAATTAGTAGATTAAACTATATTTAACATCCCTATGCAAGTAGTTGCACTTCTGCATGCAAACTAATAATCCAGTGCCCGGTTAGTGGATTTGGCCCTGCAATGGCACACATGGATGGCCATGGATGTGTTCACATGCACAGTTAGAAGTGTCATTTTTAATTTTAGTCTGCTTTTACTTAAGGCCAGAACTTTGGCTGGTGTAAACGAGCATAGCTCTGGTGACTGCAATGGAGCAAAATAGATTTGCACCAGCTGAGGATTGGTACCCCTTATTTTCCTACTGATTTAACAACCCAGACGAGTGGAAACACAACAGCGTAAAACACGGCCAGGGAGCAGTGGGCATCATTCTAGCATCTATGGAAGGTGATCTTGGGGTGTTACTACAGGGAACTAGGCATCATATATTCTACTCTTCACTCTGCTGATGGCTCCTTACATGATTTGGGGCAAGTCCCTTCTCTATTACCCTACCTGTTAGCAGGAGAGGTTACCACTTACTGTACAGTTTCATCAGAGTTTTTATGAGGCTTAATCAACATTGATAAAGTGTCTGACATCCTGGGGTAAAGATACTGTGTAAGGAAAAATTGTATGTAATAACTGAGGATGACAAGAAACATAATGGATCCGATCCTAATTTTTCATAAAGACCTCGCCCCTGCTCCTATACACTCACACACCAGAACAATTTTGTGGCTGGGATGAAAACTGGGTACTTCTGAGTTTAGAATCTGGTCCTCATCCTGTCATGTGAGGCTGTGTAAATTGACATCATAGCGTTTGCCAGTTCTAACCAGTGAAAGTTCTCTATTACCTTAGGAGTACATCCTCATGATTCATCCTTGAATCTGGGACCTGTAAATAACCATGGGACAGTAAAAGTATTATTAGTGAAGCAAATAGTAGGCTAACTTCTATCATGCTCCAGATTTATATTTCAGATAATTGCTGTGGCAAATAGACTTTTTTAAAAGATGAAATGCCATGATTTTTAACAACCGAATAGATTGTTTTAAAATGGTACTACAGTCTCTGTTGGCCCAATCCCTTTCCAATAGGGGACATGATCCAAAGACCATTTAAATTAACAAGACTCTTTGAAGACCATGAGGACTTAGGTATAGGTATGGATTTTACATGGAAGATCCGCTGCTACAGGTTGAAACTATCTGGTACAGCAACATCCATGGTACAGCATGATTTTAGTTAGCTGGATGTCCACTTATCATGGATGTGGCCAAGTTTTTCATGGTCCCGGAAATTTGTTTTTAGCCACCAGTCCTGGCTCTCCGTGTTCTGTGCTGGTATCTAACTCTAATTTACCCCTAAATGTCTTCTAAGAGCCAAGTAAGCACTGGAAGTGTTAGAAATGCAAAAAGACAATATTAACCTCCCATGGTCTGGCAAATTCTCTGGTTCAGCACTGGCTAGCTCCTGAGGGTCCTGGACTAGAGAGGTTCACCTGTACTACAGTGATGGGAGGTAGTATATAATCCTAAAACAGATAGATTCCCACTGATTCAGTGGGCTTTTGGTTGAACCCAGAAACAAATTGTGCAAACCCATTATACAACTCTTTCCATAGTGTCTGACTCATGCCATTGAAGGCATTCCTTTTAATGTGATGGTCTGGAAGACCATATGTAGAGATATAGGAGGACAGTGTGAAGGAAACTGAAAAGCTAGGGCGTACCAAGTGTTATTCTTTCTTTTATAAAGAGAAGAAATCAGGAGGAATATAGGAATTCTGGCTATAATAAAATCATCGAGTCTAAAACCTGCAGCCCAAAACCTTCTAGAAAGTTACGGCAGACCGATGAGTAATATTAAAATGATTATATAGCCCAGGTCTGTGAGGTTCTGAATACTTCCTACAAGGTGCTAAGCCTAGCGCACTCAGTTACAATGGGAGTAGAGAACGCACAGCACCTCACAGAATTAGGCCCTTAAATGTTTAATTGTTTGTGAAACTTCTAGAAGTTTGAGGTGCCCCCAAACTTATCCAGTTTCACCAAATCACATTACCCCCCTTTCTGGGTTTGCCTAGGCTACATGGCTCCATCGACAGAGCCATGTAAATGAGTTTACTAGACATAGGAAAATGAAGCGGCGATTTAAATCATCACCGCTTCATTTACATCAAAATGGACACTGTGCTGTACCAATCAGCTGTTTGGCAGCACAGCGGGGCAGTCTGGACGCGCCGTGGTCGACAAGGTAAGCTTTTGTCGATCGTTCCGGTAAACCTCATTTCACGAGGCATACCGGAGCAGTCGACAAAGGCTTCCCTTGTCGACTGCGGCACGTTCAGACTGCCCAGCTGTGCCACCAAACAGCTGATAGGCACAGCGCGGTGGCCATTTTGATGTAAATGAAGTGGTGATTATTTAAATCACCGCTTCATTTTCCTATGTCTAGAAAACTCATCTCCATGGCTCCGTCAACAGAGCCATGTAGTCTAGACATACCCTCTGTCTCCATTTATCCCACAACACTCATTCAGAATGAAGTTCAGGCCAATTAGAGCAGAACAAAGAAATTGAGGGCTTTCCAGTTCCTAGTGCTGCAGCAGTACTTCATTCTCAAATTCAACAGAAAAGGGAGTTACTCAGATGGGACTTCCTCATAGTTCAGCAACTGGGTTTTCAATCTTGTTTTGAAGCAAAGCAAAACAACAAACAGAGAAAAGCCACCTAACCAAAGAAAAACAATCTCCCACCATCTCCCACAAGATCCTTCTTGAGTCTTCAGAATTTAGAAATGCAGAGTAAGGAATGTGAGGTTGTTGTGACAAGCAATTTTGTTACTTTGTAGTTATGGGCCTGGGCTCCAATGGTTTGCTGCAGATATGGATCCACATTTTCCTAAAGCTCAAGGGATTTCTGATTAAACATTCCTGGTTAAGTCCAACTCTCTGCCATAGATTTATGCTCAGGTTTTTAAGGCCAGAAGGCACAGTTATGATCATCTAGTCCAGTGGTCCCCAACACGGTGCCTGCGGGCACCATGGCGCCCGCGGGGGCATTTGTTTGCGCCCGCCAAGTGCTCGGGCCTGGCCTGGCCCCGGACATGTGGCACATGCATGGTGCCAGAGCTGGCTCCGGGCGCATCGTGCACGGTGAGCGCTGCCCTGGGAGCACCGCGGACTGGCCGCCCGTGCTCTGGGCGTGCGGCGCATGGGGGGAGCACCAGCCCTGGGCGCGCGGTGGGCGCCCGCGGGGGCATTTGTTTGCGCCCGCCAAGTGCTCGGGCCTGGCCTGGCCCCGGACATGTGGCACATGCATGGTGCCAGAGCTGGCTCCGGGCGCATCGTGCACGGTGAGCGCTGCCCTGGGAGCACCGCGGACTGGCCGCCCGTGCTCTGGGCGTGCGGCGCATGGGGGGAGCACCAGCCCTGGGCGCGCGGTGCTT